ATATAAGGCATCTGACAGCCCCCCCCCCTTTTGGAAAATCTGGTGATGGGAAGTCCCTGGTTTGCAAAATATACAGCAGCTCCCCATATTATTTTCTTTGTAAAAGTAGAATTCATCAAAATAAAGGTGGGAGGCCACTGATCTATAGCATGATGCTGTTGTGTGACTCTGTCGGTTTGGGGTCTGTGTCCATATCGCTCTGAATCCTGCAGGGTTATCATATCACTCTTGGGTCTGTGAGAACCACAAAAAACTGCACCAGGGCTGCTGGATAAATGACTGAACTTGAGCTCTGACCCCTTTGCTCTCACATATAGAGTCTATATGCGTCGTGTAGAAAACAAGAAGGGATATGTGGAAAAACAGAGAATTTCCACGTAGCTGCACTCCGACTTTTGTAAGTAGCTAATTAATGTTCCATTGTGTCATAGAGTTTGGGCAATTTAAGGAAGCCAATTCACCAAATCGGTTGGAAACATGTGCAAACACTATAAATAATGGATAACAGGTTCTTTTTTGTTTTCCCTTTAGGTCAGGAACATATTGAGTCTTTACTCCAAACTTCCTCTGGCATTAACCCCAGCACAAAAACTGCATACTGGGAGCTTCATGGAATGGGCTTCCGTGGCCGAGCTGCTGCATGCAAGACTCACATCACCGAGCACAATGCCAAGTGTCGAATGCAGTGGTGTAAAGCACACTGCCACTGGACACTGGCGTTGCCTGCCTGACTGCATTGTGCCAACTGTAATGTTTGGTGGAGGACGGATAATGGTACAGGGTTGTTTTTCAGGGGTTGGGCTAGACCCCTTAGTTCCAGTGAAGGGAGCTCTTAATGTTTCAGCATGCCATGACATTTTAGACAATTCTATGCTTCCAACTTCATGGGAACAGTTTGGGGAAGGCCTTTTTCAGTTCCAGCATGACTGTGTCCCAGTGCACAAAGCAAGGTCCATACAGACAAGGTTGGGTGAGGTTGGTGTGGAAGAACTTGACTACCTGCACAGAGCCCTGATCTCAACCCCATCAAACACCTTTTGGATGAATTAGAATGGAGATTGTGAGCCAGGCCTTCATGTCCAACATCAGTGCCTGACCTCACAAAACGCTCCTCTGGATGAATGGGCAAAAATTCCCACAGACACGCTCCAAAATCTTGTGGAAAACCTCCCCAGAAGAGTGGCAGCTGTTATAACTGCAAAGTGGGGACCAACTCCATATTGACACCTGTGGGTTTAGAATAAAGTGTCATAAAAGTTCCTGTAGGTGTAATGACCAGGTGTCCCAATACTTTTGGATGTATATGCAGGGAAACATATCATCCACAAATAAACCATTTAAAAAAATGTTTCATAGGTAAATTAAATGTTATGTAATTGTTAATTTGCAATTATTTCAATTAATCACATTTGGGAAATTTTACATTGGGTGTGAAAAAGTTCAGGCAATTTTCTGACTTAGGGGAGTGATTTAAATGTTAAATTGTGTTGTGCCCTTTTATAGAAATATCACAGACATTAATTTACTGAAATTGTTGTGACTGGATGTTAAAATGGCCTTGTTTAGTGATTCATTACAGAGAATGAATGTGACAGACTAGTGGACTATACAGGAAGCACAGACATTTTTACCTCTTTTCAAGGATATGCAATTGAGGGTGCAATTGTAATTGTAATTGTTTCAGGCATCAGTAGTGCCTGAGCCTAAAGCATTAGTTAAAGCACAATTGAATTGTTTTACTTTACCAGATAATCATTTCAGGTGTACAAATGTAGCAGACGATAGGCTCATATGTTCCCACGAGGCAGATATCTGCTAATGAACGCTCCTTCGATGACTGTGAAACTCAGCTCTGCCTTTGATACTGCAGATGAACCGGCACCATGTGGGAAGAGTGGGCAGTGCAGCCATCACCAATGGGAGACAGTAATTCATGACCCACAGCTGTTTACTGAGGGCATCTGTAGAACAAAGCCCAGACATGTGACTTCCTCCCCTATGCAAAACCTGTGGGAGTTCCTAGTCACTTTCACCTTGGAAACAGGAATACATAGATGGATGAATTTCTCTGTGCATCGAATGGCCCTTAAATAACTGATCCACTCAGGACCACAAACCACTCTTTAGTTAGTGGGATAGTTCATTTAGGTTATTGAAGTAAATGACTCACAGCCTGAACTCCAGGACATTACAGCTTTTATTCTGTTGGCAGCATCCTCTGGTATGACAATGTATGCTACTGTTCAGTCTGTGACTTTTGCCCCTCAGGCCCAGAGGCACATTAACAGAGGTATTTGAGTTGTTAGATACTATTTGCTATGATGGTATAGTTAGGTGTTTCCCAATCCAGGCCAATCCCAAATCCAGGCCTTGTCTTCAGTTTTCCCAGGAAGTTATTTTAATAATCACTGATACCGATTGGCCACAGAGGCTTCACACCTGGCTCATGGGTAAGGGAAGGCTGGGAAATCAGCAGAGCTCGGGCCTTGAGGACCAGGATTTCAATAGCCCTGTGTTAGACTGTCTAGCAGGGATCGGGGAAGGAGCAAAAACATGGACCGAGTCCTCGAGGACTGGCTTGGGAAACACTGGTAGTTTTAGACCAGGGGTGTCCAGTCTTATCCGCAAAGGGCCGGTGTGTATGCAGGTTTTTGGGATAACTTGTAGGTCAGCTGTTCAAACCCAGGTGTGAGGACTCTTCAGCCAATCAGTCCTCCAATTAGTAATCTAATTAGGGAGTTGCAGCAAAAACCCGCATACACAACGGCCCTTTGCGGATAAGACTGGACACCCCTGTTTTAGACCAATGACTTTAAAAGGTCTGAATTAAAATGTATAGGACAAATTGTGTGGGACACAGGATTTCATTTCTCACAATGGGACAACCCCATAAAATACAGGGCATGTGACAATTCTAGATTTAAAATGTTATTAAACAGGGTTATTTGATGCTGCTTATTAGCAGAGGCCCCTGGACTTCGGCCTGGGTAAACCTGTATATTAGAGCACCCCTAATCAGGCCCCAAGTTAGAAGAAGGCATATTCAAAAAGGTATATTTGCATTTGCATTGCTAGGGCATCCTTGTATGAATTTGAAAGATCTAACTTTATTGATTCCGGTTGTTTTTCAGTGAAGGGGTAGAAAATTGTTCCAAGAAGAAGAAGACTTGTTAAAAAGTTAAAAATAATCTGAAGCAATCTGAAGTAATAATATATGATTTTCTTGCAAATAACCCAGCCCAGCGTAAACTCCACACCATCAAAAAATAATTTCCATAGCAGAGATTAATCCACATATTAACCTACAGGTTTGCCCAGCCAGCTAGCTAACGCTAACCTTACATTAAGTTAACGTCTGTTGATACATAACTGTTGCCAGTAGTCAGACCATAGTTATAACTATGAAAAATAAACATTTGACTTGGATAATACTGAAAGGCATTTCAAGTACGCCACAGTAATGGTCTCTTTCCAGATCTCTTGACTGTTTTCTGTTTTCTGTATGTAAAATGTAATGTAATAATAATGAGTAATTCATCTCTCTGTACATAATTGTTTTGCTTTAGTGCTTGCAAAGTATTTCCTGCTGTCCATGAGAGTCTACATGCATTTAATGTAGTTCATAACCTCATTCAGCATTGTCTTCTCATGACAAGCCCACATGCGCACGTCTAAGTCCACCCATTCCTGTATCGCATTCTCTGTATCTACCTTGTGTGATCTACCTACATTGTAAAATTCAAATGCACGGTAAATTTGACTGCCTTTGTAGCTATCGGAATTACAGTTGAAACTGTTATCCGCAGATTTGCTTATATAGATACGGGGTGTTTCTCATGACCAAGAATGCAAAGATGATACTTGTGGTCTTGGCAAGAACGGTCTTGCTAACCGGCCTCCCAAGAGTGAACTTGGGGAGCAATGAATCATGGGATTGGTCTTGTTTGGCGAGGATGCAACCGACGTATCCTTGATATTTGAGGTGGGGCAAAAATGATATGCAGGGATCTTTACCATCTTCTGTGCTTCTTTTCTTAGTACTGGAACTAGCCTTTGGCAATGGAAGGTGACGAAAAACAAGTACACCAGAACACAAGTATGGTCAAGTACTGTATGCATATTGAGAAACGCCCACAGTCTTGGTACAACATTGTTTTCTTTGAAATATTGACAGTAATGGATTGCACAGGACATCTTACAGGTCTAAGGCCCAGGACCCTGTAGAGCTGCGCTGACAAATCAGATAAATAGACACCAGTTTGAATCCCGCGGCCAGCAGACTGATGCTGTTGTTAGGCCCCTGAACAAGGCCCTCACCCCCGGCTGCAGATGCGCTGCACGCTGACTGACACTGTGCTATGACCCCCCCAGCTGTGTTTGTGTGCATCATGCAAAGAAAGATGGTATATGGGAAAAAAAAATTAAAATTAATTCCCCACGTGGATCAATAAAATTATCACTATTCTACCTTTTTTAAAGCCTTTATCATTTGCAGCACACATGAATTACACAAACAGAATATGTTGGCATTAAATAGTGTACCATTTTGCACGAAGACAATGTCACTATTTAATTCTAAATCATACAGCCAGCATATTGAAGGTTTTACTGACTATCCTCACGACGCATCAGCTTGGTTATATTTCAAATTTAGTCTAATTATAAATGTAATTTGAGTCTTTTTGAATGCATTGTTTTTAACAAATCTTCAGAAAAAGCAATAAAAACAAACACATTTAAGAATGTAATTTTGCGTGTTATAAAATCAGTTGCATGTGATTTTAACACTATATGACCTACCTCGTGCCCAGTGCTTCCTAAACAGACTTGCTTGTGCCTCAAATCCAAACAATCTGTTATATATATATATATTAAGTGGTATACATAGCGCTATAAAGTTAACGAAATAAATGTTGTTATATTTTCTCAGTGACCGAGTTTCTCATTAATGGCATTTGCTCCCTTGCGCCTCTTGGCTTTCAAATGCCGCTTTAATCCGCTAGGGGGCACAACAGGCGGGACTTTTTAGCCTTTGCAAGTGGTTTCCTGAGAAATGTTCTTACTTCTACCGTGCAGTTTCCAGTGCGAAACCAAGTTGCATGTGTAACTGTGCTTCGTAAATCTCTCTTGCAGCGTAAATGGTTATAGTGGCGGCGCCATAATTACCTAAGAGTGTAGTAAATGTACAAAACGTGTGGATATTGACCAGCAGAAGTCGGAGATTGACGGTGTGATTGCTTTTTGCAAAGGTGAGAGAGGAGGAGGAAGGAAAGGTGTTGGGTCGCGAAAACACATAACGGGCATCACCCGTATGTCGGACAACGACTTTGCCAACAGGTTGGTCATTTATTCCTGCTGCAGTTTTTTCCCCACAATTGAGAAACATAAAAAATAGAGTTAAAAATCTACCTTAATGCAACACATTTTAAAGAGATGTGCGATTATTGCTGTCAGCTTGGGATAAATTTTAAAAAGCAGGTTTAAACGCTGCCGCTACAGCTGGTGTGTTGCTCTCATTCATGTTTGCCGTAAGATATTAGCGGGTGACTGCGTTTTTGAGCGGTATTGAATGCCTTTGAATGCACATATATTTTTTTGTTTGTTTTGAAGCAGGTGTTACTATTTGTTAATTGCGATAAAGGAGCCGGTGCTGCGAATTGGGCCGACATGGAGTGGAGGGAGCAGTCCACGGTCAGCTGCGAAGTCGCCTTCAGGGAAGCCCAAAGATGGGTCGAAGTAAGTTTTGAAATCTGATTTATTTTTTAACCGGATTTATTTTGAATCCATTTACTTATTGGGTTTTTTTTCCCTTGTTTTAAGACCTGTACAACACACGTGTTTTCCTGCCTTCAGTATCATTGCGTCCTGACACTGGCGTGTTCGCAAAACCTTGATGTATTTTTAAGTCTGTGATGAAGACCGTATAAAACTTATTTATTTGAAATCTGCTGACAATCAATGGCTCATAAATTAGAACTGAAGGATGCAATGGACCGCTTCAGTCACTTTAGCATGTTAGATCCTGCAGGGCTTTAAGTACAGAAGAATGTCTTTAAACATTGAGTAACGCTTTATAATTTCATTTTTTTTTAAAGGGATAAGGATTAACTTTTTGTTGGGCTGCTTAGACCTTACCTTTTTAAAACTCTATGCTTTAAGCCTGATCCTTTAGAAAGCCCTGATCTGTGGGGTCATGTCTGGACCTGCTGGCTATACTCAAATGGCTTTTTGGGGAGCAGGGGTGAACACATGTTCTTCTTTTGCATGGTTGTGAGCAGGTTTGCATTCAGACCCAAAGGCAAGAAAAAGATCTGTTGTTGTGGATCTTGTATCAGGCTTTCATGGGCTTGACAGTTATTGACAGACATTATCTATGGTCATCAGCATTTAAGTATATTGGTTCTTGGTCTAATTTCACCTGGTTTCCTATTTAATATGTGCATGGTTTATAAAGCAAGAATTTATCCTTTTGGTTCCTTTATTTTCATACAGGCCTATAAAAACTGATCGAAGCATTGCATGACAAAACAGCAGTGCAGTAATTAGCGTAAAGGCTGTATTGTTCGCTTCATTCATTGCTTAAATACATTAAGTCGTGTTGGCTCTTTGTATACTAAGCTTATAAATGGTCGCTCTCATGACATGAACAGATAAGGGTTTCTTAATCCGGTTGAAATGCCTGGTGTTAAATGCTTGTTCACACTATGGGTTAGGAGGAACTTACTAGTTGGTGTGGTTTGTACCCTGGTACACACACTGATATTGTCTTTGTGTATAAAAATATTTTCATATTGATCCTGTGTGCATTCACTCAACAGTGATCTTTAAGCCGTATTATGGTTGTCTTAAGCAGACTAGTTTGTTGTTGGTTGCGTTTTCCGTTTTCAGTTTCTCTATCATTCTGGGGGTTTCCTGTTGTTTTACAGCTGCTCTTAGTGTTGGTGATTTTAATCCTGAAGTACTCTTGTGCTCTATCCAGTCACTTACGCGTTTGTTAGTTGCAGATTGTAAGGAGCTGAATCTCATTTGAATCTGCGCTTGTTACAATGTGTCTTTGCTGTTGCATCTGTATAAGCGGTGAGCTCGGTGTAGAGTGTTAATGAAACTTAAAGGTATCGTCTTGCACATCGTAAGGAAACCTGTGCTCTTGGTTTGTTTAATCTGTAGTCATGGTGTATGGGACTGAGAATTCTGTGCTCGCATTGCATTCCTATGTCCCGGTACACTAATGAAAAATTGGCAAGCGTTAGAAAACCATAATCTGCAAACCTCAGTCCTTTTTTTTAAATCCTTTTCTGACTTTGGGGGAGAGCTATTTCAGGAAAATCTCCCGTGCCAAGAACAGTAATTCCTTACAAAAGAGTACACTCTTGTATAGCAAATTTGGTTATTACTTAAGGATTCAGTCAAATAAGTTGATAGATCACCTTCTACTGAGCTTTCCTATGAACATTAACCATATCCTCTATGCCTGTTGCGTGCCAAGATGTTCAAATTGAGCTCTGCTTTTTCATGATACCTTAAATGTTTGCCGTTTTTGTTAATCTTCCGGCTTAAGCTTAATGTTACGGTTAATATTGTTACCACAAGAGGGTGTTGGTGTTAGAAACTGATGTCCCCTAGCGTAGTGTATAAGGAACTTGTGATGAGTCTGAATCTTAAGGTATTCTTTCCCCTTGATAAAGGTACTTAAACTAAATCCCTTCAGTCAAAATATCCCGCGGCATGAATGGCTGAAATACAAAATGCAAGCCCTGTAGTTCACGCTCTGTAACTAAAACGTGCACAGCTCATAGACGAAAACAAATCGGCCTGATAAGGTCTCACGTACTGTGCAGATTAATATAGATAATTCAAATGATTTCGTAACCCTGGCTGAACATTGATTAACATTTTCTCCTGCTTTTTTTTTAAATCCAGGCACAACAGTATGTGTTGCCCATTTGATACTCAATACTCATCTTTACCTGACAAAATGATGTGAATTTTCCTGTCCTGCTCATAGAATTGTCAGTGGTGCAGAACGTCCAAGCAGTGGCTGGAACTAAACAAATATTGTCTCTATTTCATGAATCCGAATGCCTTCCCCGTGACATCAGTCCGCTGTTGATGCACACTAGGCTATTGTCGTGTCCGGCGGACCTCGATTGGGAGCATTTCCCCAGCTCTGCGTGAGGGGTGCTGGGTAGCCACTGGTTGCCCTGGCAAATGATTAATTTATTCTCCAGCCTGGGGGGCACGTTTGCGCTGAGGTGGTAGCATTCTGGGGGGGCTGAGTTGTTGGAGCAGGGAAAACGGGTCTGGAATGCGTCACACGGAAACATTCCTCAGTTTGGTTTTATCGTTGTGAGCCTTGGACCCCCCCCCCAAGTAGCACTGCATTACCCCCTGAGGATCTGACGGCTCTTGGGGCGAACTTCATGCCGGGTCAGACACAGTAGCAACTGGGGCAAGTAATGAGAATCATTACTTGCTGTAAGAAACCTTAAGATTTATGGGCTGCGATCTGTCAGTTCAGCGTCTCCCGTTGCCTGAAATTGGGAATGATTTAACTGCTCGTAGAGATTTTATTTTATTTTTTTCTGTTTTCCCCTGGGTGTATCTGGTCTGTGGCAGGTACTGGTTATCATCTGTATGAGATCATCTTCTAAAGCTCTCGCATGAAGTGCTGTTTTGGATGTTTTGCTGCATCCACTGTTGAGAAATAATCGGCTTTTTGTGGTGTGACGGAACACAAATCTGTGCTCCTAATAATAATCATTTGACCTAGATGAAGAACTTGAATTTGTCAAATTCACAAATCTTTGGTGCTTTCTTTTTTTCTTAAACAAATAAGAGCATAATCCTCTGCCTGAAACCATTCGTTAAAGCTACCAGTATATAAAGTCTTAGTTACTGTAGCTTTTATGAAAAGCCATTTAGTTTTACCAGGAATTTGAAAGCTGCCAGGTTAATTAGCTGGTCAGAGGTCGCTTTCACCTGTTGCCTGGTCTGCTGTGTATTTTCCATTAACATGTTAACAGTGAATGTTTCTGCTACTCGGAGGAACTTTCCCTTTGTGCTTGGTGGCTTGTGGAGGCTGCGGAAATAATTCTGAAACTGTGAAATTTTCTGGACATTTGACGCAAAGGTATGATGCAAGCTGTCTTTTCAGAACGGTTCAAAATTCAGCCTGGACAGTTGTAATTTGCTTTCAGTACAGTAAATGGATTCCTAGATTATATGTTGAACATTAAATTTTGATCAGTGAATTTTTGTTTGTATGCAGTGTTTTACATTTGCTTTCCTTTCGTTGACAAAGCAGAGTCATATTGTCTTTTTAAAGACCGTACTGGCATGTACGTCAGGTGTACCAAATACCAGCAAAGTAGCTTTCAGTAGTATTTTATTTCCGTACTTAATTAGTGTTTCTCTTTGCTACATAAGTGCTCGTTGGACAGCAAATAGCTAAATTACACTGGACATTGTGAATCTATTCATATTTGGTCCTGTTTTTTTTATTTTAGTTTGGCCGGTTGCAGTTAAAACAGATGTCGCCTCACCAAAAATTCTTCCACCCTTCCCTGCCTCAGTCTAACTCGGTGTTTCCCAATCCGGTCCCCAGGGACCCAGTTGGTCCTCATTTTCGCTCCCTCCCAGCTCCCTGCCAGACAGTCCACATTTTTGCTCCCGGTAAGGTGCTGGGTGGGAGCTAAAACGTGGGCTGTCTGTGTGTCCCCAAGGACTGGATTGGGAAACACTGGTCTGTCTTAAAATGTGACGTCATGCTGAAAATTCATGGGTTTTGTCTGCAACACGTTCCTGATACTTGTCTGGCAAGCCTGCTGCCGCCCGGTGAATTGGTCACTTATAACATTATGGAGAGTAGGATGCACTATAATAAAACTGACCAAACCATAATCACGTTCTTGAGGAACCTCGCCTGTTTTTCTTTCTTCGCCTTTATTCTATTTAAGACTAGTAGTTTTTTTTTACTTTTAAATTGTATTTGTCCACATAGGACTCGCCGTGGTTCGTATTTTTGATGCAGATTAGCGATCTGCGCGTTCCTGTTTTTCTCCAAGTGGCCCATTGTCTTTGCATGAGTGAACAATGGCCTTGGTTGTAGTTTTAACTAGTGTGCGTTCAGGCTTTGAGCAGATGGAGGAAAAACATTCCATTTATTCCCATATGAATGCCAAAGTGTTGTTGGTTTACTTCATAGCTTAAGTTTTTAACATGCATGCGACGTGTCGCTGCTGTAATTAAGAGACTTTATTTTCTCGTGTTGTGTGGAATCTTGATCGTGCCGCCCTACGATTAAAAGCTTATTTTATTTCCCGAAACCAGGAATGCAGTAGCGTCTTTTGAATAGAGGCTAATAGTTCATCTATTGTCACGCAAGCAGGTATGTGAATCCTTTCCCCCCCCTTTTTTAGCGTTACAAAGCACTTCAGTATTCTGTGGAATCCAGTAACGCTAGTAGAAATTGTTGTTGGGTGTTATATCTATGAAGAGAATTATAAATTAATTCAGTCACATGTGTATGACTTGTGGGTGTTTAGTGTATGTAACTTTTTTTTTCCTTAAAGATTGTACGTGTAATTTTCCTGTTGACAACCATTTATTGTTTTGTCTTTGAATGTAATAGTTTGAGAACCACTATAATGGATTTTAAGGTAATTTTTGATATGCCTGTTAAGGCGAAACTTTTTTTTCTGAGTATTGTTTTATTGGCAGAGTTGTTTTATAAACCTAGTGTTTGTGATTTGCCCCAAACCTGTTGCCACAACTACCTGAAAAGAGTGTTGTACTTTACAGATCCATTTAAAAGACTTGGCGTGTGTGTCTAGCAGTCAGCTCTTCAGCTGCCGGTCACATGATGCTCCGCCTGAACGCAAACCCTTAATTAGGCAGATTCACATCAGTATGTGGAATTAGACCTCCTGACCTCGCTGGTCTGACGTTTCTCAGGCAACCTGGGTGCTTGAGTTTGGAAGCCATGCGCATTACCTAGGATTAGAGCAAACGGAACGAGACACGTCGCAAAGTTATGTGTGAATCACAGCTTGAGACTGTTAGGGAAGACCAGCACCTAATGATGTTGCATGCTTGGGCAATGAATACAGTAACCAAAGTTAGGGAAGAAAATTTTGAATAAAACAATAGATTCCAGTTCTCTTGAGTAATTGTTCAAATACAGTTTGAAATGAATGACATTGTGATAAGCGGTTGACACTTATAATGAAAGCTCTTATTTGTGAATTTGAAAATCAATACCGATTCTGATAATGGCATGCCAAGGATGACTTAGAGCTGCCTTTCATTGCACTTTTGCAATGATTTACAAAAATATTCTTTGCTCAGATCATGTTTGTACATATTCACAAATTTTTACACACAAACCCAAACGGTTTCCTATGAAAAACATGCTTGAACCTTTTTATAGAATCCACTGTCCCCTATGGCTTTTCCCACTCTACTAACAAATGGATTTTTGAGTAAAAATGTTCTTGTAATATTTAGTTTATTTTTTATGTAACTTGCAGTACAATAATTTTTAGCTGTACTCTGCTAGTTTGAGTTTCAACCATGTTTTAATTATTAAACATAAAACAAAGTTCCATTTCGGAAAAGTTCATCCTTTTTCGTGAAAATTTGCTGCTTGGAGCTTTTTTTTATGTTTGGCAAAATGCTGTCCTGAAGCTGCCTGCTGTCTCAGCTGCGGTTCCCCTGTTCCGGCAGGTTCCGTCTGACTGCAGGGTCACGTTCGAATCCTTCTCTGATGTAACAGCAGGGGTCAGGATTTCATACGGCAGAGCGGGTTCATATGCCAGCTGTCACACACGTACAGCAGTGTTCATTTTCCTGCCGCCTTTAAAGCGTGCATCCCGTGCCCTGGCATCATGCTAAATAACCTTCACAGCAGGACAACCCAGTTTCTGCTGCTTTTCCCTATGAAGAGCCGTTATATATGTGTCCATATGCATTTATGTAATTTTAATCTTATTGGTGACACTGTCTAAGTTTCAGACAAATAGCTACAGTAAAAAGAGGTCGTATGGTTTTGCTTGCAGGAAAGTGTCTGGCAGAGTGGCTCATTTTTATCCCACGTTTTTTTTTTTTTTTTTGGGGGGGGGGGGAGGGGGGTTCGCCAGATGAGTTGTGTGTCCTTCGGACGCTGCACTTTAAATGGGTCCTGAAGGATAACGTGCCCTTACAGCCTCAGCCCAACTGTTTCCTATTATGGCTCCATCCTGGGCTTCGGAAGATTCCCTGGGCATGTCGAGGATGGACTCTGCTGCCGTCTGTGTGTGTTAATTGTGTGAAATTGCAGCCGCCTAGATCAAGTGAAATTGGAGAGACATTGGTTGCCCGAGTGAGCCAAGTGTATTTGGTCAGGTGGTGACCTCTGCAAGGGCATGTCACAGCTGCACAGGTTTCTCTGTGATGTGAAGTAGCCTTTCACCTCCTGTTAAAATCGTTCAGAGGGATACAGGCTGTGTTACTTTGGCTGTATTTGGGACAGACAAGTGATGTCCTTTGTCCAATCTTTACACTAAATGTCATCCTGATTGTTGGCTTGATTCGGCATCGATGGTAGGGTTTCTTGCGGGCTCTCATTTGTGCTCGTCGTCGCCGAAAATAACGTTGCGACAATGCAGTGTCTCTTCTCGGCGTCCCCTGCCGACGGGTGGAGATGATTGAAAAGGCATGAGGCCTACACGTTGGCGTATTCTGACGTTTCCCCAGATGGTCTCGGCCTCTGTGGTTTGCAGATCATCTCCAGCAGTGTGTTCAGAAGAACAGCACTCAGAGTTGCGACAGAAGGAAGCTCCAAACAAGGACTCCCTGATTAATGGCATTAATCTATGGTTTCGGTCCTCTGAACTCTGCAGGAAACAGTGGATGCTTTGAACCTCTGCACTCTTCTCTGATGGTTCTTCTCTCTGTTTCACATAGGAGGTATCCAAGAAGAAATTCGGGCACCGGGACTTTCGATCGGCACTGGAGAATGGAGTCCTGTTGTGCGAGTAAGTCTGGCACGAGCTTGGGTGCATGGTTAACGTCAGCGTGAACTAACCTACATTTTCAGTCTCTCCCTCATAGCTTAACATATTACAGGTGTTTCTCAGAACGGCCCTTTCTGAAAGGAAACCTTTAATTAACACTCCAGTCTAAGTATTTAGCTACATTGTCATTGTTAACAAGCAACTGTCTCGCTTACACCTTTGTATTTTTGCGTGAGAACTTCCAAACGTCTGTTAGGAAGTGCCGGTGTAGGGCTTCACTAAGCTAGGATTTGTGACACTGGAAACCAGGAAGCCACGGCCTGCGTCTTTCCGTATTGTAAGCAATTTAACCTTCATTACGTTCCACTGGCTTTAAGCTTTAATGAAGACTAACCTGGCTGTAGCATGTGGAAAGGCAGCTGTGTTCGGTGTAGGACCCTTGCCAGGAACGGACACCTGACACTCGCCTCTAGCTCTTCAGGGAAATTGTTTCCATCTCCTCTCATGGTTCTGCCCGACCTGGATCGCTGCTGGCCGGCTGTGGTTTGGGGAAGGAATGGCAGATTCCGGTAAACGTGCTGCTAACGGGGACGGTTCCTACAACTCGTTCTGAACCTTTTACCAATGTGCGTAGGCTGTGCATTTTGGACCGGAACAACGGGGCAATTTTACCAGTCATGCAGTTACCCTCCCACGGCTGGGCTGTATTGGCCCTGCTCCTTTCTTTAGGGGGGTGGCTTCCTGAACAGCTCCCATCTGAGGCCGCTCCTAACAGCATGGTATACTTAGTTCAGGAGGGCTGGTCCCACAAAGCTGCCTTTCTCACATAGCACTTCAACATTACCTAAAATTATTGCATACAGGAATAGGCACAATAGAGTGACTCATTACCACATTTAACTGTATAACACTCCCCATTCTGTCCTGCACTCTAATTGCCATTTGTTTCTCAATTTTTATATATTAAACCTAACAAAAGTCATTTAAGGTCTGAGGTGTTGTGCTGAACTGTTTGGTGCCCACTAGGAATCCCATTTGCTTCCCTCTCAACATTTAATTACGCTGTTTTGTGCCTTTATCGGCCAGCATCAGCATTAGTCTGATTTTAGATTAATTTTGGCGTTTCCAGTGACACTTTATAACGCTGTGGGAACAGGCAGGGCAGGATTTTAACAGGCAGGCAATTTTAAAGAATATAATAAGCACAGATATGAGGTGGATTTCAGTTAGCGGTGCCTTACCCGTGATCCAGCTGAAATGTCACACTGCTCCAGACGTGTGACACCAGTGTCAGTCTGTCCGTGACTCATATTTCTTTGTTCTTCCCTGGGTTCTCGCGGAGCCGTATAGGAGGCCGCTACGGGCCCCAAGCCCTCGCTGTTGGCCCTCAGCTTCACGTCGCTGCTCTTTATCTTTTCAGTCTGATCAACCGAATAAAACCAGGCATCATCAAGCGAGTCAACAGGCTGTCCACGCCGATCGCCGGCTTGGTAAGTGCAAGACGTGATCCTGTTAGGCTCCTGTTGCCATATTCCTGCCATAACAGAACAGAAATACTGAGAACTGAAAGCAATACCACAAATGCCGGTTAGCAGTTAGTCCGTTTGGGAGGGGGGTTTGGAGAAGGCAACAGTGGAAAAACTCTTCTAGACAGTGACAAAATATCTTTTCCCCTCTCCCCCATATTATCTGTTGTAAACATTTCTTCTTATGCTTGATGTTAAAAATAAGAATCGAACCCCCAACCAGCTGCAGTGAAGTCCGCAGTGTGTCGCAGGTATTAATTCCATTGTACCCTTCAACATGCTGGGAAGACAGATTTAATGGGTTTTGCTGGGTGCATTTCCGTCTGCCCTGCTATTAAACAATTTAAGGTAAAGCTATGGTAAGACATCCCTGTGTGTTTACGGGGTGTTTAGCAGGCTGAGTGAAGGCTGTGATTTCATTGCCAGTTGGTTTGGCTCCCAGACCATCAGGCAGGCAGGATTTAATTGCGTGCAGCTGTTTGTAGAGGGAAAGACGTGTGTTGAGAAGCTTAACTTAAGTAGAGGAGTAGGAGGGTAATGCAGACTCTGCATTGGGGGTCATGAGGACAGAGTTGACCTCAGAAGATGCGTAAGTATGCATGTTTGACTTCAGATGAGACTGTAGGGGGTTAATTGGCGGGTTGCTTTTATGTTCTAGGGCTGGTCTTTAATTAAAATATACTTTGATTTGCAAGTTGATGTCTGGAGATTCCTGTAGCATCAGAGAATTAAATCATTGTTTGCATTCATGTACATCTTGAAGTAAAAGATGAATTAAGGAGTGTGTAGTTTTTTGTCATCTGTGGCTCTTGGTAAAAGAGAAGAACCTGCAAATGAAAAGTCAGATGGTTCTTGAATGTCATAAATCAGGGGCTGGGTCATTGTCTGTAGCTTCAGAATGGCCGGCTGTTTAGAACACGGTATTGGGGGGGATTACTGAAGGCACCAATGAAATGAAAGCAATCCTTGGCCCTTGGGCTAACCTTAGAAGTTGTGGCCAATGTGGGGGGGGGGGGGGGGGAGTGGTGGTGTTTATCTCAATGGTCAAAGTTTTTTTTATTTAAAACCTGATCGTCTTCGCCTGGAAGCTGTCACACGTCAAAATCTGCTGATATTTTTTTCTAGGTGAGGTGAATGTGGTTTCTTTAAAATGAAAGTCTCTATAGCTATAGCTTTAGTCTTTCTAGCTGTCATATTAAAATCTGGCCGTATTCATCTTTTGGTGCTTTGCTGCAGAACATCTAGCAGAATAAAAACAGTATGTCAGAATCATCTGAGCTTGAAGATGTCTCATTAGCAAGAGGGAGGAAATGTCTGGTTTAGTGAATTTCTTGGCGAGATGGGTTTAGGGCAGCCCGGTACCTTTCTACCATTGCCAGCCTCAACTGATCCACGTCTTCTGCTTTCCATGCCAGTGGGTCTCGATGTTCCATGAAGGCTCTACTGTGGCTGCATGGTGAAATTCCCTGGATAGTTGGACCTGCTTTTTGCACTGTGGCTATGAGACTCTTGCCCTTGTGAGGTGGTTGGTCTTCCCACATAAGAAACGCGCATGACTGAGTAGTGTGCCGCAGAGGAACTCATGATTACTTCATGGGGTTCAGCCCTCCATAAACCAGCTATAATTGACCCGAGTTGGGTAATTCAGAAAATGTCCTTTTTATATGCAACCTTCAATTACGTACGTTGCTGGATGTAAAATGAACTCATCTGACAGGGTTGTTATCCAGTTTAACGAAGATCTGTTCGGTGAGGTTGAATACCTTCAGTTTTGTTGTCAATAATAGGTCAGCATCTCCTTGGCATCTGTTTTGTGTTTTATTTTACCTTACTTTCACAAACCATTTTAAATGCCTAATTATTGGATGTTTAAACTTGATCTTAAATATAGCCATAAGGGACAAGTTAAACTGAGGACAGAGAACTTTGATTCAGGTCTTAAGTAGCTGACACATTTTGATGCACTGCACTTTTTCTTTTTTTTAACATGGATTATATTAAGACTTCAAGTAAATTTACATTTTTGATTGGCTTTTCATATTTTGCCTTGTGGTCTAATGTTTGGTAAGTTTCCAGAGACCACTGGTTCTGAAAATGGTCTTTAATTTTGTCTCCTTTTGAAGTCTAAGGGAGCTTTTCATTTCCACCGAACTCCTCTTGTGACTTTATGTAAAGACTTGCATTAAGCCGATTTTACAGTATTGTTTTGAAACTGAGAATGTTCTGTCATTCCCTTCCAAAGCGAGAAAATTAAGAAATTATGCCTAGAATTTGTGCAGGTTATGCTTTTGTGATATTAGTCTGTTGGAATATCGCTGTTTTTTTGTTATAAGATTCTTTACTTCCTTTTGAAGCAATTTTAGTTCATTCTGTAGTTTTCTGTCATCTGGGTTTTAACGCTAAAGTTTACTATTACCCTTAAATTGCATTATTTAAAAGTGAAATCTGTTACTAAGGGTGAGGTTTGCTTGTCTCACTGTAGCAGATGATATCAGATTTGCAGCTTAACTGCTGTTTTTTCGTCAGGAAGGTGTAACAATAGGAACTCTGAATCTGCAGGATGCACGTTGCCGTGTCTCCCCAGCGTAGCCTGAAGCACTAAAGAGCACTTGACTTCCTCTCCAGGGTCAATTATCTGCTCTGTCCACTATGAATCACCATCGTAAAAATGCTGGAGGCATTGGTAACATTTCACACAGACTGTGAGCTCAATCTGTTCTCATGTGGTGCTCATATGGTTAGCAAACGTACGGAATGTTAGGTACTGTTAATGGACAGTGTGCTGGAATGTCGTTTTACAGGTAGACATAAGTACTGAAGCCGTGATACTTTTAGATCTTGTTGCAGATGCTGAGAAGTTTGTCTGCTATGTAATACACTGGAAACCTCCAACGCTGGATTACGTTGCTTTTGTTTTAGCAAAATGATGAGAAAGTGAGAGCCGCATATAATACTCCCAAAGCAGGTGCGTAAATGGCATGCAGTGTGTAGAATCATGCCTGAGCTTTCATTTAGGGGGCAGTTTCCAGGTATTTAACATGTTCAGCTGTGAGCAGCCATTTCTTGTGAGATTCCAAGCTTGTCTGTAACAATCAATATTATTTACTTGGTCATATCAAATATCATTCATAATTTTTCATCAATAGTCTTGGTCATACTCGTGCCTTAAATTTATGATCTGATTGAGAACAATGCATAATTGTTTTCCCTTTGAGATTTGTGTCACTTGTTTCTTTCTTGGGAGGCTTATTTGCTTGAAATTGTAATGTTTATCTTAAAATTTAAAAAGCTGTGTGTGTGTGAGATGGTTTTTTGGTTGTTATTCTTATCCACCCATATCTTTGTTTGTTTTGCACTGCTGTATCCATTAAAGTGAGCTCAGTCTTGTGATCTACAGCATTTAAGTAAATGCACTAAGCAAATGGCTCTCAAGCTGAGGCTTGCCGTTAACCGTAAATCGTATATGAATAAGTACTGACAATTACTTTGTTGAAGTAATGGTTTGTGATTAGCAAGTATTTGAAGGTTTGTTTATTCTTTAAGCAGCTAAACAGGGAATATCTCCTTTGGTCCAATGAGTATAAAGTATGGGGGGAAAAATCTTCACGAATTAAATGGCAGGAATATGATTATAATGGGGAAATATTAAATATACTGCCTCTTAATGAGCCAGTCCCCCAATACACTATCATGGTAGTCTAAGTGTATACATGCATAGCAAAATCACATGCAGTAAATGAAAAATATTTTAGTACGTCTATCAAAAGACAGCCTTCAGTCTCATGTAGTAATTGTATTGCATGCACAACATAGACCTAATGGCTGTAAATGATATGTTTTCTGAATGTCATCCTACCAAAGGGCTTTTTCTCGGTGTCTGAGGCCCCCCCACCTCGCACCCCTGTTCCTGGTGGGGTGGGGGTGGCATTTTAGGGCGAAGGAGCTGAGCTGTGGATGTCGTCTGCTAATGAACATGTGTGCATATATATATATATATATATATATATATATATACACACACACACACACACCAAGAAACCTATAATTATTACTGACCTACGTAATGATAGGATGGAGATGTACTAGGTTGTGCCGCTGTTGCATACATGTGTTTTATGTCTTGAAAGTGCATCAGCCAAGTCTTGCTGCAGGATTCACTGTCTCTCTTGTACAGTATGTGGAGCCTATTGTATATTTTATATGAAGCCGGCAATGTTTCACATGTTTAGAACTGGACTAGCCTCTGAATAGCATTAATTCATTGAATCCAGAGGTTTGGGCAAAGGAAACGTAGGAGAACGTCGCGGTTTTGAGGAATGACAGCTATAAACACACACAGCTGCTGTCGACGCTGATGCTGCGGCTTTTGCTCGTCTCAGACCTACATGAGAGTCGTATAGGAGATACATGTGAAATTTTCGTGACTTTTTCTCAAGCTGATCCTAAGGTAGCAGCACATATAAATCTACATACTGTAGATGAGTCTTACTGGGGAAGGTTTTCTAAAGGTTTCTCTCCAAATAGCCTCTATAGTGTTACTTTCTCTGCCCAGTTTTGTACTTGTATATACATTTTTCAGTTATTCAGGCAAAGGTGCATGGACTAGCATCTGGTTTCTGGGTGTGTGTGTGTGTGTGTCCACCCATTCTGCACTTTGCATGGCTTACTGGGAGTGGCCTTGTGGCACTGACGTTTGTTTGCTAGGTCACTGCCCCTGGTCTGTAGCAGGTAGTGCTGGAAGATTATGTGACAGTTTGTCACGGCGGCCGGCCTGCATGACAGCAGTGCCTGTTTATTTTCTGGATACCCCCCGGCCGCCCTCTTATCCGCTTAGCGCACAGGCTGAGCTTTGTGGGCGCAGACTTGCCGACATCGTCGTCGGTGAATTCTGCAGGTTTTCATCCCGTTGACGCTCAGTGTGGGGAATCCCTTCTGCCTCTTTAACAGGACAACGTGAATGTCTTCTTGAAGGCTTGTGGCAAGCTGGGACTAAAAGAAGCACAGCTGTTTGATCCGGGAGACCTGCAAGATCTGTCCACCAGAGTGACTGTAAAGTAAGTAGCTTCCTTCAGGTTGCCAGCGGTTGTTAATTTCACAGGAGGCAATAAATCTTTTGATTTATTTAATATATATAATATATGAGAGAGATGTGTATACACTTAATTTGTATTTTCTATATATAACTATATAACTTCTGGATCAGTTGCTTGTCATAGACACTGTCTGCTTTTAACGATCACTTTTTCCAACAGATTTATTCATTGTCCCTTAAAATAGGACATTTTATCATTGTAACTTCACTACAGACAATACATCACACACCCTAACTCCAGATACTATATTTGGCCTGATAGGTGCCATGTTAACCTGACAATTCTGGGGATTCACAGTGTTCACAAACATCAGTCCTGGCCTGTGTCACTAATGGCTCAAAATATGAACTGTTAGAATGTCGGATTGGCATTCATTTGGGTTTACTGTCTGTATCTGGCCAAGACCGTAATTGCCGTATACTTCTTGTGTTGTTGCTAAGTTTGTGTTGGGGAGGGAAAGTAAGGTTCTGGAATAATGAGGGTGAACCTAAAATTCAGGATGGATGAACTTTCAGATTATAAATCTGATCTTTTTGTAGTTAATGAGTAGTGTGATGGGTGTATCCTAAGTTGCTGTGAAGCTTTTGTTTGTTTTGTATGTCTGGTGGCACAAGCTAATGTGACCTCAAGAAGAGATGTGGATCCCAGCTGTATATGGGACTGCCTGTCCCAAATCTTCTGATTCATTTGCCACATTTTCTTTAGGTGGCTTACTTGGTGACTTGGTGATTCAGGTCATCGGGTGATCTGCTGTTGTCCTTCAGTGTAGACCTGCATGGCTTTTGTTTAATGTAAATATAATGTATCTGTGTGTATGGTGTGTTCATTTATATATGGGTATGTGAAGATCCCCAAAAAAAGCTCCTATCAAGCATGGGGGGGGGGAAAAAAAATCTTGGTGGGGGAAATATTTGGTCAGTGCTCGTTCCTCTTTTAGCACAGTGACATGTTATTTGGCTTCCGCTGTGCAGGTGGGAGGCAGAGGTACTTGGGAGCCCTTAGGTCACATGCAGAGGTCGATGGGGGCTGGGGGCCGGCCCCCTGGTGGCAGGGGGCAGGGCCTTGAGGCCGGGGTTTCCCCTCGACTTTTCCCGTGCCGTCGCCGTTTGAGTGAGCTCTCCTCTCTGCTTGGCTGGCATTGTATAAAGCCCTCACTGCTTCTGGACAGTAATACACCACGCCCTTCCTTCCTTAGCAACTAGACCTTGCTGTTTCTCTGGGCGGCAAACAAGCAGTTTCCAGGCTGTAAACGCCAACCTCCCTGGCCGTAACGCCAGCATTCACATGGGGCTTCAGTGCAGGGGCTCAGTCCTGCTAATTATAGAGCCAGAAAGTCCTATTTGTGACATTGGTTTCTGCGAATCTGAAGCATAGCCTTTTAATCTACTGAGAGCATTTGTCTCTTGTATCTGTACAGCCCCCCAGTATGTTTGTGTGTTTAAGTCCTTGTTTGCCTTTTGCTTTGGCAGTCAGAGATCTGTGCAAATTTAGTTTGAAATTTGAACCCCTGAGTCCCTGCAGCTGTCAGCCCGCTCAGCGTTTATGTTAATGTGAGTCCCACAACGTGAACGCATGTCGTCTTCAGTGAGGTGGCAGTGAGCCATGAGGCCAGTCACCTCCTGTTATTGGGAGTTCAGAACATTTTTATGTAACATTTACAGAACGTGCTGGCTTTTTTTTGTCAGAATGCTCGGACATTAAGTCGCCACTGCATTATTCTGCACACGAAAGGAAATTGCAGTTCTGCAGAGCATCAAATGGCTGGAACAAAGAACACTGAACAATGAACACTGAACACTAAATGCTGTTTAAAAAAAAAAAAAAGAAAGCAATACACAACAATTCAAGGTCCTTGTCTCCAGGAGACTGAGTAGAGCCGATTTTTGCCTGAAGGTTACTATGAATATTCTTGAATGACTATTGTAATTTTGAGGTTCTCTTCACTTTTGTCGTACGGTAATTAAAATCTTTTGTGTGTATGAGGACCGAAGATCCTTTTGTTAGATAACCAGTTCAGAGACACTTGTACTGTACATAGCTTGCACCGGGAGGTATTTATGGTTTTTCCCACTAAGCATCAGGGTCAGCGTTTCCCTTTGAAGTTCTTCTGACATGTGGTTCATGTGCTGAGGGCCAAACGTTGCACAAGTGGCACTCGGCGGTGGCAGCTCACTGGATTGGAGATGTCCATGAGAATGCAGCTGAAAATCCTGAGTCACTCGTATATCATTTTAAGGTCAAAGGAAGTATTGCACAGGCAGAGTCCTTAATGGGCAATAGCCAATCTATGATGAGTTCTTTGTTGTCGTCCTGCATATTTCAAGGCCTTTGATACTCTATATTGTGACTCCCCATGTCGTGTTGGAGGAGGACACAGACGTCAGCCGCAGAGGAATGCGTCTGGGTGTTCTGCGCAGATCACTATCACGTTGGGATTAGCAATGACCGTGCTCTCCTCGAGTCATCAGACCGTTAGGGACAGGGTGAGCATCTCAGTCCCAAGCACCTCTGTCCTCACATCTATTTCTGGTGCTGACTTCATGTCCGGCCTTCACCTACGCTGGGCGTGTGTATTCATTTCCTGTTCCAGCCGCGTTTCACGGTTCTGAGGTGTAATGACTATATTTTAGGTATTTTACCTACGGGTGAGCAGTTGCTCCGGGCTTTAATTTATTCATGGTCATCGGTGACGCTGTCTGATGCAGATACTGAGTGTAGTTCTTTGTATAGTCTACGTCTCTAGACATAATACATATAATCATAACCCTTGCGCGGTATGACAAACTTTGTGGTATAACGTGTAATAGCCAAAAAATATTTTATATATTGTATTATAAATAGACATGTCTTGGTGGCTGTATAAAGATCTTGTCATTATACCACATGATTCCTTCTCTCAATCTTCAGCCAGTTAGTCCTCTAATTTGTAATCTAATTAGGCAGTTGCAGCGAAAACCCGCACACACACCGGCCCTTTGCGGATAAGATTGGCCACCCCTGCTGTAGAACCCATTCAAAGTCCTGATTTGTTTTCAAACTCATAAGCATACTATTTAAGTTGTTTTCTGTTTGTCATTGCTAGAGTCTCTCTATGGAACGTGCTACTATATCTTGTGTTTTTATTCTGGACAAATAATACAGGTGGCCTGCCTTGTTTGCTCTGTGGGCGTGTGGTATTGTTTGTCTACGTATTCTACAATGACGGCATGATATGCTTGACGGTGCTTTATCACGATGCGTATCTTACGCAGTTTACCATACAAGGCAACGCTAACCTTGGGCTTCCGCCCTGGTACCAGCTGGTCTGGACGCTGGAAGGCCAAGACTCGCCCTATTTGCCTGCTAACAGGAGTCGGTGTGAGATAGGAGCTGATGTCATTGCTGTTGTATCCGTTTAATCATGTATTTGCATGTCAAGGCTATCCCCCCCCCCCACCCCCCCTTAAAATAACGCTTGCGTCTGAATTCATTGTCCTACAGAGATCGAAACATTACT